TATGGGGTATTTAGTTTTCCTAATTTCAGCTATGGAATTCCTTACCTTGAAAAACTTGAGTTATGGAGTGCTCCATACCTTCCATAGTGGAAGTGACACCCCTGGAGCTGCCCCAGGGGTATATCGCAGTCGGGGTTAGCGCGCTCTAGGCGATTGAACGTAAATTTTTTTTAACGCTGTTTACGTAAATAATTTTTTGTAAATACTTGTTGAAATACTCGTCGTAATAATTTTTGTTTAGTGTTTAGTATATTTAATTGTAGGATAAAACAGTTGAAAAAGTTTTAATGTAATTTAAGAATATATACCTATCTATTTGATAAATGATAATAAAAACCGTCGTTCCTACTATAATTGTTGCAGGGGTGGATGCTTAATGAGCAATTAAAAGTATTCAGATATATCATTTTTTGAGTTACCAAAGGATAATGAAAGGTAAATTTATTTCATTTTTTTTTTACATAAAGCGAAAAAATAATTAAGTTATAAATTAACTATAGAAGTAATACCTAAGTACTTCATTACAAAACTTGGTTGATATTTACTTACTTCACTATCAAAGTTCCTACTTACATACCTATAAGTACACGTCTTTGTAATTAAAATATTTTAAGTTATAATAGCACAAAATACTGAAATTAAAACTTGTTTCAACTAAGTAGATTACGATCATATTTCTGTTAGGAATCAAATTTCGGGTTTATTTGTTGTTTACGCTATCTACCTATACTAACCAAGCAAAAGCGATTCCCGACGAATGACCATGCAAGTTGCAAGCGTTGGTTGTTGCAGAACTCACATAGTAGAAAATATGGTCGATTATAGTCAGCATAGGTACTTTACCTAAGTAACTTACCATTTCAAGATTTATTTTTTTACTCTTTATTAAAAGCCCTTAGCAACCACGGAAAGTCCGTTGTGACGTAGTAAGGAGAAAAGATGCAAAGCAATACGACGAACAGTCACGCGCAGAGATAAAGTTTTATTTAGCTTGCGTGCGCGATTTATCTGATTAATAATAACTGTGTAGGCTATTAAAACGTCGGCAAGCAGTCAACATCAAAAGAGTGCAACTTCTGTACGTAGTAGATATGAGCGCCGCGCCGGCGCGCCGCCGTCGCCGTGAGTTCATGTCGGCGCGTCGCCGCCGCGTGAAGCACGCGGCGCGCCGTCGCGACCAGTCGCAACTTCCTTTCCCGCTCACACGCGCAGCCCGACCTTATTTGTTCGCCTTATCGCCTCGCCACGCTCGTCGCTCGCTCAGTCGAGTCGAATATTTCACCGAGTGATTGTGTATTGTTGTGTGGTGTTAACAATGCAGCAACAAGCCGGGGTGTTAACGGAATTAAATGTAATACAATCCCAGGAGAGTACCAGCACCCCGGTAATGGAGAATCCCTTGCCGAGCATCCGCGATCAAGCTACTCCACTCCTGAGGAGGGACTTACCTACCACTCCTGGGTGCTCAGAATTCCACGTATTCTGGGTTGGGGGCAAAATTCCGCTCAAGATAATAACTGCTCGGGGCAAGCTGAACAACAAGGCCAAGGCGACCCCTGCCACGTGACTTTCTGTAATCATCAGGGGACTTCGCTCGAACCTAAACGCCGTCCACTAACATCTCGAGACGGGGAAGCCAGCCTTGCTCTTTCTGACTGAGACGCAGGTGTCCTCTCTGGCTGATACTTTGTATCTCTCCTACCTGGGGTACAAATTGGAACACTCCTTGTACCTCGGGCTCGAGTTTGCGTATACATCAGAGAGGACATCTGTTCTCGATGCCTCGGCAGTCTTGAAGAACCTGTCTATCCTTTGGCTACGCGTAGACAGCGAGGATCATCCGCATGTTTACGGGTGCCTCTACAGGTCCAATAGCGGTAATGCCGAAACAGACCGATTCATCGCCCACGTCCATATGGCTACAGATTCCTTGCTACAGTAGATCCCATCCACAGAGATTGTGATCCTCGGCGATTGTAACGCCCACAACGCCGAATGGCTCGGTTCATGTTTAACCGATCATGCGGGGAGATCTGTTCATGATTTTGCCTTGGCATATGGTCTGACACAACTGGTAACTTCGCGTACGCCGATGCCAAATGTGGAAGATCATGCACCTTCCCTGTTGGACCTTCTGCTGACCTCTCATTCAGATAGATATCAGGTCTCCGTCCACTCCCCTCTTAGCTCATCAGATCATTGTCTAGTCCGGAGTGTGGTGCCACTCACACAAACATCTCGATTGCATTCTGCATTTCTGCAGGCTGGCTAAAAAAGGCGACCGCTCAGACCCGTCTAGCTATGCTTATCGTCATCACCTTGTTCTACAAAATAATGGAATTCATTATAAACTGCCAGCTCATGCGATATCTTGAGGACCACCAGCTAATTAGTGACCGCCAATACGGTTTTCGTCGGGGTCGGTCAGCTGGTGATCTTCTGGTCTACCTAACTCATAGATGGGCGGAGGCATATGAGTCCCAAGGGGAGATATTGGCCTTAGCTTGGACATTGCGAAGGCCTTCGATCGGGTTTGGCACAAAGCGCTTCTACCGATGCTCCCTTTCCATGAGCTTCCCGAGAAATTGTGCAATTAAATCACCAGCTTTCTTGCAGATCGGAGCATCTCTTCAGTTTCAAGGTACTCCCCGTGTTGTCTCAGCCAATATCGGAATCCTCGGCGTCGACATATCAAGTGACGTGCAAGTGCCAAGAAGAGAAGGCCAAATTGGCTTCTAAAACGCTTTGCGTGCTCAGCAGAGCGGTACAGTATTTCATGCAGGCACACCTCCTGCAACAACAAGGCGCAGGTTCGGCCTCACATGGAATACTTTTCCCATCACTGGGCTGGGGCTCCTCAAGGCTTTATTGAAAATATAAAGCTGTTTTTGGTACCAACAATATGGTTTTCTTTAATTTTTTTTAGAAATCTCTTCCTGATAAAACAACATCTCAGGTCTATGGCCAGCCACGCCACACCGCCGTGACGCCGCCGCCGCCGAGGAAATTTTCAGGCCACGCCGCCGCCGTGGAATTGGCCTTCGGCGCTCATATCTAGTACTTAGTACTATTATTTATACTGTGCTAATACCTAATGTTATCCAGTTGCATACCAAATTCAGGTTTTTGAGTATACTATAGAAACTCAAAATTTATGATAAACATCAATCATAATAAAATCAAAAACTGCATAGTAATTTTCATCCATACGACATAAATGAACAATTGGATTATTTAACTAGTGTGTCTTATTTCGCGGACAAAGAAACTGTTAAGATTGGCCGTTCTAATAAATAACATATCCCAAATAAAATGGAAATTATGTAGATCAGAATCATAATTTTTAAATATAAATATTTAAAATTTAAATATATAAATTTTGGAATAGCTTCGGGAAAGTAGGTTTTCAAGCTACTATAAGCAGGAAACGACATGTTACATTTTATTGCATTTTTTGTATACACAGGTTTCATTTAATTTTATACCCAATATAATTATAATGATACTTGAAGAAGGATTACAAAAAAAAAACATTTAATCCCCGATGGGACGGGAATGCAATTTTATTTATAAGTCGAAATTTCACATTTTGACAAATTCAAAATCCACAGCAAGTTAATTAGAAATTTATAACGGGTCGAATCGAAACAGATCAAAAAATATAATCACAAGTACTCGCTACCCGCCCTACGAATAGTCAAATTTCTAAGTTGTTCTAATGTCAAAAAATGTCTAGTATGGCTGATTATAGTCACGCTTGTGGGCACGCGTGCGATAAGCAACGCGGGCGTAAATATCTATAGAATCTACTCTCTTCATATTGTTACGAGTCTGACCCGCTAACGACTGTCGACATGTCACGTGCGAGTCGCCAGCGATTCTTTACTTCGGGCTGAAGATGCGTCGCGGCACTTCTCCCTTTAGACATTGACATTGTCACACTGATCGGACACGTCAAATTCAGGACAAATGATATATAAAGTTTGCTGAATTATTAACTTTCATATTGACAAATATACAAGACTGCGCGATACGACTGTTATACAGTCTTAATTATCAGCGGTCAGTCAGATATCAGCGGGTTTTAAGCCGCGCTTACTATTACACACGCGGGCCGTAAGCGTTACTATAGAACCAGCCAATCCACTGAGCCTGTGACGGCATCGTTAAATGCACAGTGCACTACTGCCCTGGCCGAATCGGTGTGCTTTCAAAATGGCTCTTTTCCACTACGATCCTTTTCAGAAACACAACACAAAATGTAACTGCACGGGAGGCGACGCCTAAAATTGGCTAACATTTCTTTATTATAGGGCAAATCCACTGACACTTATCTAAAAACTTAATAAACTTATAAGGAGAATGCCTCACCATGCAGCACTATGTTTGCAGTGGAACGAGTAGTATCGAGAAACTGTTTCTTTATCGCACTCGTTCCACTGTGATGCGACCAGGGAAGTAGTCTACTCTACCGGTACATTATATTATATTATAGCACTTATTATAAAGCTCACAGTGAAGAACATTCGAGATAATTGGCAGTTCATCATTCAAGTCGCCAACTTCATTTGCCAAAAAGGCAGAGTTAAGTATATAACATTAGTGAATTCATACATTAAATGTTAAAATCACCCATGATTTGATATAAAACAAAACGAGCTTACCAATCAACCGACAACCCGTGTCTTAAATGATTGAACTGCCCGTTGGAACCCCTGAACTAACTCAAATTCAGAAATGACGGCACCTGTTACGCCTATGCATCTAAACTAACGAATACTTAACAATTACATACACTGAATCACGCAAATGCAACCGTCGGCCCAACCACTCAACAACTGGCAGTTTCATTCGCGAGATTACGTCGCATTATTAATAATAGCCTATAGAGAGACACCAGCGATAATATCTCCGTGCTCTCGCTACAAAACACACGTAGATTAAGTGTTTAAAATATACTGATGGAATATTTACAATAATTCTAGGGTTTGCTTCTGAAGTCAATCTACAATAAGTGGTTTCGGGTTCTCCCATGGGAATCCCTCTCGACCGAAGTGCCCATAAGTACTGGTTCTTTGATATATCGGCGCTTTAAGATTGAGCTCTCTGAAAGTAGACAATTATTTGTTATTATTATATATTATAAATTATTTGTTTGTTATTATAAAACTGATTACTAAAACTCTATATTATACAAATATCAATTGCTGTCCGTTAGTATCACTAAAACTAAAAAACGACTCAACTGATTTTGATGAAATTTTTTGTGTGGTTAAATAGGTCCCTCCTAGATGGTTTAGATTAACATTTGAAACCGGTAGGTGGAGCTCTTGTAGAGATTCAGAAATTACCCGTGCGAACTGGACAAACGCATCAGGCATGCAAAACTGCATGCCTGATGCATTTGTCCAGACCGTGGCAGCAATTTAGGCTTCTAATATGGTGCGCTTAAGTTATATTTTAAATGTTACTGAGTTTCCTAAGCTTTTATGCAATAAATAAAATAATTTTGGATTTGTTAGGTTTTTAATGTAATTTAATAGAATAAAAATATTTATTTAAGTAAATATATTTATTGTAGGACTCCTTTTCTGCCTAGGATTCTGTCTTTCTGCCTAGGATTCTGTCTAAGTTAGGGCTCTTACCATCTGATGGACTATTTGCCACAGTGATGTTTGAAAAAAGCACTTTTTAAGAATTTTCGGAACAATAAATTATACAAAACATACTTACTTAACAATTTTCCCAGGCCGGAGATCGAAATTCTTCTGTACAATAGCCAGAAGTTCTTGTTGGGTCTTGTTAGATGTACCATAATCGAAAACCGTGATTGACAATGGCTCAGCCACACCAATTGCGTAAGCAACCTGAATATAGCAAAAAAAATGTATAAAAAATGGGAGACATCAAAATGGCAAAAACATCTAGGAATGATTTAAGATGGCTGATGATGGTATTAAAGGCAATAAAGATAATTAAAAACAATAAATTTCAATTTTTTACCACTGGCTTGGAACATTTTATTTTGAAAGCACAATCAAGAATCCTTGAAAAAAAATTTTTTTTGCAAATAGTTTGCAATTACATAAATCTATTACGGTGTAGGAATATCCACTACCCCGAAACGTCCCGTGGGTGTCGTGGGAGGCGACAGAGGAAAACTGAAACGGGCGATGGGCGGCAGCCTTTCTGATAACAACTTAAAATAATAAAAACTATGGTTGCCAACCCGCTTGCTAAGCGTGGCAACTATGGCAAAACTTCTGTTATGAATGAATGAATAAACATATTATGTTGTATGAATTTATTCATATGTACAAATGAAAACAGCAAGGTAGTAATTAACGAACTAAGAACAAAGTTTTATTTAATAATTGTATCGCAATACGCATTTTATGCAATTTTTGTTTAAAATCAATATGACCGTTTTTTTTTTTCATTAATTAAATACGTTAATTTTCGTAAATATATTGCGAAGTCAAAGTTTTGTAAACTCGCCTATCAAGTGAAGCAAATATATTATGGCAAATATCATCACTGTGAAGCAATTAATGGGGGGACACCTTCACTTTTCATGTTGTAAAAAATATTCGTAGTGAATAATTAAATTTGAAAAAGTAAAACATACATTTTGTCGTGTCTTAGAAGTCTGGTTTTATTTTTTCCCTTATTAGTGGACGAAGAAATATCACAAACTCGAATGTTGTATATATAGTTACATTAATTTTCCACACTTAGGGATAGTACAATCTATATATTACTTTTTTATCTATGTATTATTTTTATTATTATCTTGGTTAATAGGTTATGTTTATTGCAAAATAATCATAAAAAATCGGTCCAGTCGTTTACGAGAACGCGGTAGAAGTGAAATCTAATGAAATATAAAACAAAAACATTTCACAGCAAATGATTTATTTAATTTGAAAATTTTCAACCACATGTGCGGCATAAAATATAAGATAAAAAATTAATTTTATAGCAATTTACAATTTCACGTTACAATCCTTATTTTTAGACATGTAAAGAGCCTCCTAAATTTTAGTGTATTAAATCAAAATAACATTTTTTTTTCTAAAATTTTTGTGGATTAATATGTCATGCCTATTAACGCTCATAAATCAATTCTTAATTTTCAATATTTTATTGTGGCTGATGTATAATAAATAGGCTTATGGTATCGCTGACTTTTTTTAGATGGAGGAAAGATCTATATTTTTGTAGAACATAGTATTTACGTATCACTGTGTTGCGTGTGAAGCGGGTTTTGCGTGTGTTGCGAGTGGTACGTGTGGTACGTGTGGTGCGTGTGTTGCGTGTGGTGCGGGTGCTGCGTGTGGTGCGCGGTGCGTGTGGTGCGGGTTTTGCGTGTGTTGCGTGTGGTGCGTGTGATGCGAGTGTTGCGTGTGGTGCGCTTGTGGTGTGCAGTGTGCCTGTTGCGCGTGGTGTGCGTGTGGAGCGTGTGGAGCGCGTGGTGCGCGGCGGCTCACCTGCACCATGCAGCGGCGGCAGAGGCCGGCGCGCACGAGCGACTTGGCGACCCAGCGCGCGGCGTAGGCGGCCGAGCGGTCCACCTTGGTGAAGTCCTTGCCTGAGAACGCGCCGCCGCCGTGCGCGCCCCATCCGCCGTACGTGTCCACGATGATTTTGCGCCCCGTCAGCCCCGCGTCCGACTGCCGACAACCACGTCCGTTCCATATACAAATTACTAAAATATATGCTTACGAACTATGACCTAAGAATCATGTAGTACGCCACTACGCCAAAAGGCAACAGATTTAAACAAATGGGCAGCAGCGTCATTCTAATAACTAAAAATAAATATGAAGCAATTTATGGAGGAGATTGAGCTATAATAATAAAGGTATGCCTATCATTGTGTATTTTATTATTTAGTTAACAATAATTTTCGAGTAGTTTTTACATTTTTTATCTTATTTGTCACCTATCTGATACTCATGGGTTCAAACTACGAAGCAAATACCAAGAGGAATTGGCATAAGCAACTGTGCACTGTGATTCTAACTAGGTCCTGACGTCATCACAGTGGGCGTGGCTTTACTTAGTATACCGTCAGCGTTCGTCCTGTGAGTTTGTTTATGTGTCGAAAATCGCAGATCGGTGCATTTTCGTAGTATTAAGAAGAAAAGGATGAAGTGTTGTGTTTCATCGTATAAAAACTACTCAAATAGACGCTTTAATGCTATGGACGGCATCACATTTCATTTGTAAGTAATTTTATACCTAATTTATTAAAAAGGTTTTAGAAAAATCTCTGCGTCGGCTTTCAAATGTAATAAAATATATTCGACGCTAGATGGTGACACTTTGTGTCATAGAAACTAAAAATATAAAGTTACGTAGAACTCAGTATTGGTAAAATAATCTTGCATTCAGTCCTAAAGAATTTTTAATCGCCATAATATTATTTTTATAGGTTTTAGAATCATTTTGTGAACAGGACGCCATCTTTCGTCAAGGTAGCTAAACTACATTGCAACATCGATATGGAACGATTTTACTATTTATCGGTAGATGTAGATAGTTAAGTTGGCGGGGCTTAACATCCCCTCACCCCGCAAATTGTCACGCGTTGTTACATAGTGAAATCTTATTACAACACCTCCTCTTTGTATTTACTATGTGGTTCAAACTATTGTTTAACTCCAATTCGTGAACTAAAGCTGGTTTATGATTTTGGTGCCTATTAAAAAAAAAAACTTATTTTAACCAATAACTTCTGTAAAAGCAGTCCTATCTAACTCCGTGCTTTAGGCATGAGAAAATACAACTACGCTGCGTGACCGCCTTACATGATGCTAATTCCGTGAGGTTGTCGCGCGCCTTACGTAAACGAAAAAGTATTTTTCTTTTATAAGTATTTAGGCACTTTTATATTTATTTTTGAGATTTTATTCAAGTATTGCCTCTCAAAAAAGCCAAAAGGTACAGCATAACATGCGGGTGCTTAAATAACAATAGGAATGTCATTCTTACTGTTCCTAAGGATACGGAAAAGTAAGATATTATTATTTATAGGTAGATCTAGATAATTAGGTAGGTACCTAGTTACTGACGCCATAGTTACAGATTTATTATTTGATTAACGACCTGATCACAACCTTCGCAGTTTTCGATTTTTTCGCGTATAATGCCAATGACCTTAAAACATGTTCAGTTTAAGTAGATCTGCCAGTATATGCTGGTTAATAGTTTAACACTTGGTCGATAAAAGAAAGAGATTGAAAATAGCAGCACTTATCATTGCCACTCTTTCATTAATAATGCCGACGCGTGTCGTATGTTTGTAAATAGCAAAAAATGTGAAACAGACAAGTGACGGCTCCATGACGCATGACGCATGTGGCTTAGCAATGAGTTGCAGCGCTAAGGGCGCGGGTTCAAATCCCGCACGAAACAAGTATTTGTATGTCCTACAAATAATTTTTCTGGGTCTGGATGTTTGTCCTTGCGAAATCTATGTATGTAAACTGCCCCCACGATACAGGAGAAAAACCTAGTGTGAAGTAAGGTTTTTTTAAAAGAGAGTGAAGAGAGATTGAATGAAATTAAAGATTTTATACAACCGACTTCAATACTAAAAACCATTATTGAGGAGAACTCTAAAACTACCGGTTAGATCTTGATCAAATTTAAGTGGGATATATAAGATATAAGCACCAGCATTCGAATTCTGAGGTAACACATAAAAAATACAGTCGAATTGAGTACCCCATCCTTTTTTTGAAGACAGTTAAAATGGTAAGTAGGTAAATTATCCGAGTTTCAGAGACGTTCTTCTTCTTCTTCGTTCGTTAATCTTAATTTTTCTCCATGTTGCATATTAACCTTCCTCACATTGAACAATAATGTTCTTATTAGCAAATTACTAATACATTGCATAACACCTCGGGTGTATTCTACTACCAACTAATATCAGAGGATTCAATTTGTTTTCTCACAACACCTAATGTTCTTCTTAGGTTGTGACCTTACCCTACAGTAGGAGCGGCCTTAGCAAAGGCGCGTAACGGGCTAAGTGATACACTCTCGCACGCGGACGTAAGGTACGCTGTAAGATGGCTATTTTAACCAAGGTCGTATGTATGGTAACTATGTTTTAAAGAATAATCCTTCTGTTCTTGTAATATTATTTATTCTATGGTAAAAGTATGGTTCTGTTTCATTTATTTTTTATTGTTATATCGTTTAATAAGCGTATTTTTTTTTAGTAGTAAACCATTATAACAAATAAATATTGCACGTTATCGTATGAAACTTATAGAGTACTATGTTATTCGCATGTGATGATTTAAATATAAAGTTAAGTTAGTCTATATATACCCCTCAGATAAGCACTGGCCTCCTCTTATTTCTGAGAGGGTTATTGAGCTAGCACTTGACCACGTTGCTCTAGTGCGTGCGTGCTGGCGAACTTCACTTGCAGCACTTAAAATATTTTATCCCTCAGACATACAGGTTTCTACACGATGTTTTCCTTTAGCATTTCAAAATGTAATTGAGAACGAAATTGGGATCGTTAAGCCCCTGAACTATTACGGTTGTAAATATAGCACGCTATTTATAGCGCGACGACGCCGAATACCTCGATGCAGGCCAGCGCGTTAGGCAAATGCAACGCAGAGCTAGTCCTTGACCACTAGCATGACATACAGTTAACAACTATTAACGTTGTATCGAGCAAACCACACGAAACATGATATGTTTCAGGAATTTTCAACAATTACGTTATAATATAGCATATAAAATACCACGATATAATAATGTATTTTCAAATCTTAAGCGTGCTAACAATATACAGCTGTTTAGAATAGAACAACACCTTTTATATATTATGTTAGAGAATTTGTGTGTGATACATATTTACAAGACTGCTTCGAAAGATATATCTTATACCTATACCTTTGAAATTGCAAATAATTTTTCAATTCAAATTAAAATTATTTATGCAACATTAGTTTTTAAGAAAATGTATGTTTTTTTTAATAGGATAAGGGTGACAAACGAGCACACAGTCCACCTGATGGTAAGTGGTTGTTGCGGCCCATAGACATCTACATCTATCCTCTGTAACAAATCAAAATGTAGATGCGTTGTCACCCGTGAGGACTAAGATGGAATGCCTCATTTTCAGTAAAAAGGGCCTCCGGCCACCTGCACTCACTAAGCGAAACGCAGAGGTAAACCTCTACTTCACGCTGGTATTCTGTGAGGTCGTGGTACCACCCCGGTTCGAGCCGGCACATCCGTGCGATAGCAAAAGCTGCCGCGTGGCTCTACCACTGTTAAAATTAAATAATGTATTCACCGCCGTTAGTTATTCTACTTAATATATGTTGAGTTTTTGGTTTCCATAAGAGAATATATATTAGTAAATAGCACAGCGAATTTTTGCAAGACCACAATAAGAAGTTGATTAAATGCGTACTTAAAATATACAACATTATATTAAAAAAAACCTGTGTAGTCCATTAAAGTAGAAAGATTCGGTGCTTTTGGGTCTCTAGAGATGATTCTGTTCATTTATTCTTTTTCAAAGAACAAATAAAAACATATCCCGGAAAAAATATATATTTAATATGGCAACAATACGGCACGAGCGTCCGTCGAGTAACAATATCTAGTGATCACAACATTGATCTCTGTTGACCCTAGTTGTAGTTTATCGTTAGTTCTTTAGAAACAGTGATAAAAACACGCAATCACTTAAAATACAGACGACGGCGTTATATATTTTAAAAATTTGCTGAATTTTAAGAAAATTAAAGTAAAAATTAAATTAAAATAACATTATTATATCCTTTAATATCATGATGTTTTGATGCGTAAACTTTGAGTACTTATAGTGATAATACTTTGCTAGTAGAAACTTAAATTTATAGATAGAAGTGGAGAAATATGTAATACAAATAAAATTTAAAATTTGATATTTTATTTAATACTAGCTAGTACCCAGTGCGTTCCTGCCACAAAAGAAATAATTGTGGAATAAAGAAATAATTGACGAAAAATATCGTTATAAATTTGTAACAGTTATATTGTTTAATTAGGAATGATATTTACATTAATTTAAGTTGCATGATAAATAACTTTGAAATAAATTTGTCGAGATGCGCCACCTACTGTAAGTCAACTATACTATGCCCACAAACTTCGCACAAGTGCAAACAATAAGTTGACAAAGTTTTAACGCAATCTGATGAAAGGTATGACAGCTCATAAAATACGAACAAGCAAATATTAATTTTCATATATTAGATAACAAATATATTATATAGGAGCATTTGCTTTAAGTCACGCTTAGCAGGCGGATTCACCACCTTTAATCGTCGCAGGTCTGGGTATTTTGTCTGGAGCAAACGAGAAAATTATTAAACTTTGGAAGACTTAAGACTTTTCTAGCATTTCTCATGGACGAAGAAGAGGCAACTCTTACGACACTCACGGCACGAAATGGAATAACGAATTTGCTTACGCCGCTGCCACCCGGGGTGATAATACAGATTAATACATACACACACATATATGTTGTAGAGCCATGCCACAGCTATATTGTGGTTATGGCACAAATGGGTCGGCTCGACCGGGAAGGAACACGCGCTCTCAAATCATACCAGAACTAAATAGCAGCTTAATGCTGCTGTGTTTCATATTGTCAGTGTGGAGAACTGCAAACTCATTTTCCGGAAATGAGGCATTTCATCTTATTCCTCAGGGGCTACAATACATCTGCAATTTATTTACTAAAAATTGTTAAAAAAAAAAAGGTGAAGCGCTTGCTTTATATTTCACAGCATGCAACAGAACCTGGGTTCAATTCTCATTGACACCAAAAAAAATTGTTATTTTTGCTGATTTACCACATCCTCGGTGGAAGAAGAAACCTTCATGACTAAGGATAAAATATTTTGAGCACATGAAACTACCACAAACATGCAACTTGGTTACTTGTTTGGCTTAGCTTGGTTACTAACTTGATTATTTGTTTTATAGCCATATTTTTCCTGCTTGAGCAAACACAGCACCAGGTAATGATCATGTACTAAATACATATGGTCTATTAGAATTTAAAAAACTATGATATCTTAATTAAAATCATCTATGAGAAACAACACCATTTTAACACCAATATAAATTAAAAATGTATTGTAATCTAATCTTCATTACAGTCAATTTCAATAATATTCCAAAACAAAACTCGTCATAGAATATCTCTAGTTACACATTAACCTGTGTTGCCACCTTAGTAATTTTGTCGCTATATCTGGGAAAGTCCTTTGGGGATATGTTTGTATTGTGTAGCATAGTGGTCGTGTTTTTTATCAAATTTTATATCTATTTTCTTTAAAATATAAACACCTAAATTGCTTACTTTTATGTTACTTATATTGTGCCTTTGAAACACAAAGAAGATAGATTATAGAGAATTTAGAAAACCTTGTGAAAGTGGCCTATTAGGTTCTTATGTATTATTATTTTTTACAAATTGGATGTCAAAGAAATCGGTATAATAAATTTAAATAAAATTATTGCAAATTAGCTTGACGGATTTTGGACCGACCTAGTGACTTACGGGAATTAGTCTAGCGAGTTTATTTTTATCATGTGGCAACAATTACATGCGTGAAAGTTCAGAGAGCCTGTATTCAGGCAAACACAAGTTAAAATGGCTGTACTGTATCATGTACCATTTTATAATTAATTTTATTTTTACTGTAGGTAATGGTGCATTGCATAATAATGTAGTTTTAGCAACTTCTGTAATAATGAACCAACTTTGTTTGAATGTATAAGATAAAATAAATGTTCCAAAGCTCACCTGAGGTCCACCAATGATGAAAAGTCCAGAAGGATTGATATGAACAATTGTTCTGTCATCAAAGTACTGTGCAGGAATCACTTCCTTAATCACTTTATCTCTTATTTCTTCACGAAGTGTCTCCAAGGTTACCTGGACAAGATTTAATTACCAATTTGATGAAAAATAATGAATATGTCTCATAAAATAAAAAAGTTGAGAAATTTCTTAATATGCAATTTTTTTTTAAATATATTGAAAACATGTATAATGGAATTGGATACAGCTAATATTAATATAAATAATATTATAACAAAATTTTTATTTAAAATCTGGTAATAACTTCATTATTCATAGGTAATATAATAATAATTTTATGCAATTTTCATACTATTTGTAGAAATAATATATGTATAATAAAAATATATATTTAAGTATATTACCTTCTCAGAATGTTGCAGAGAAACAACAACTGTGTGCACTCTTTGTGGCACCGTTGCACCACCAGCAAATACATATTCACAAGTAACCTGAAACCAAAAAAATACTTCCAACTCAAAATCTATTATCATATATGTTACTGTCACAAGAATTTTTGGTATTGTATATTATAGAATATTTTCAATTAATTTAATCAAATAGGCATCTTCAATTCTTTGTGACAAATTAAATTTATATAATTATGTAGTGACTTGTTTGTTTCTTTTACAATTTTGCAAAATATTATAGCAATATTAAATTGTAACAATAATTTAAAATACTGACAATATTTAGAAATATGCATAAATAATATAAATTAAAATTATTGTTTCTTTAGCTTTATGATTACCTGTGACTTAGAATCTGGTCGAGCCCACCAAAATTCACCATTTCGCCTAAGTTCTGCAATTTTTTGATTGAGTTTATGGGCAAGCACTACTGTAAGAGGCATACATTCTTCTGTTTCATCAGTAGCATATCCAAACATCAATCCCTACAAAATAAAACTATTATTATTAATTATTTAGTAAATTCGAAAATAAGACCTATTAACAACACTTAATAATGTAATACTGACTAGCAACTAATAATTAATGAAGCAGTAATGCACTAATGGAATTGAATTAAATATTAGCCCAATGCTTTCTGTGAATGTCATGAAATGAATAACATACATGTAAGTATGTAACATACATGTACATTCTATCAAAAGTCCAATGCTGAACATAGGTCTCCCTCATAGATAGAGCTAGCCTCATTATTTGCCATAGTTGCCAGGTGAGGCAGGCGAGTTAGCAACCACATTTTTTTATAAATTGTTATCAGGAGGATGCTGAATGATATGGGTAGTGAATATTCTTATGCCTCCACTACCTGGCAATTGAAAATAAATTAACCTAAAAATTATTCGATTTTAATTAAAAATGTATTGCTTCTAAAACATTCTAAATATATTTACAAGTCTAATAATAATTTTTATGTACTATCAAAACTACTAAGTTAAAAAATAAATAAAAATGTTAATAGGAAAATAGTACTAGTATTTAAGGTAATTTTTATATCTGTACCATAAACTTCATGACAATTCATATTATTTTTGAATATAAGTTCCAACATGGAAATAGTGTCTGAAACTGCATGCATTATCAATGACATATATGAATCTCAAACTAGTACAGTGTAGTAGTAGCAGTAGCAGTAGTGTAACTGTGTATTATAGGTTCGCTTTTGTTTGGCTTGAAAATCGGTTATATAAAGAAGCTTGAGAAATGGGTACCTATTACCTAATGAACAGTGATGCATGCAAGTGGTCCACATCAAAATTTACATCATATTGCAGAATTGCAATACAAAGGAGAAAATTTTGAGTCGTATTTGTTACCTGTGATGAGAAGTGGAACCTATATGACAACCACAAGAGCTCATCTTGGTGATATTCCAAATGCCCAGACCAAATAGTTTCCAACACACAAGGTTAGCCTTATGGTGGCAGTTTCTTGGTCTACTGTTAGTGTTATTCTCCATGGCTACTTGACATCTGGTGGCACTAGTCCTGATGACCGTTATTGTCATGAATTGCAAATGATGGTAGAGTAGCTGGCACTCAAACAACTCAGATTGGTGAACTGCTCTTTGCCATTGCTTTTTCATGACAAAGCAGGCCACATACAACACAACAGATGTTGACAAAATTAGCAGAACTTTAGCTAGAGAACCTTCTTCAACCACTATATTCTCCGGACCTTGCTCCAGCAGACTGCCACTTTTTTCGAAGATTAGTAACTTTTTTATAGGCAACAAATTCAATTCCAAAGAAGCAGTAAATAATTTAGGTAAATACTTTGGTTTATTAAAGTTTTTACTTTTGTAAACAAAAACCACTTGCATTTTCCCATAAAAAAGGCCATTTCATAAATAAAGACTTAATGGAAAAAGTTTGGCAAATTGATTTTATAACCAAGCCTACCTGATCACCAGCCCCAACATCCTCCTCGCTTCTGTTCTCATGTACTCCAGCTGCAATGTTTGGCGACTGCTGATCCAGAGCAAGCATCACACTGCAAGTCTTGTAGTCAAAGCCTGGTCCCAACATGCTTGTTATTGTTATGTTTCTGAACAACCTTATTACTAGACAACTAATTAGCCTTACACTAAGCATATTGACCATTTATAGTAGACTGAGAAATTTGTATTATTTTGGTCTCCACAACGGCTCATATATCACCCAAAGAATGAAAATGTATATAATTTTAAAACCAAATATGACCATGCAAAATATGATATCCCAGAATAAAAATGAATTTTGACCCTTGGTGTACCCAGATAATTTTTGAAGTTTAAACCCATTTCTTCGTGCAGCAGGCTCTAATAGAAGTTTGTACCTGATCGCCAGCCCCAAAATCTATTTCCTCTCTGTTTCGATAGACCCCATCTGCTATGTCTGGGCTCTGCTCCTCAATAGCCACTAATAAGTTTAGTGTACGCCAATCAAAACCTTGTTCACAAAACAATTACTAAGTGTGTAATCCCATGGAGGCCAAAGTATTTTATAAGTATACAATATAAAATCTCAAATGAGTATCTGGCAAACAGCCAATGAACAAATTGTGTTTTTATCACTAACTAATGGCATGTCTATCATAAAAATATATTTTTCTTACCTTTAGAAGAATCATCATAACCAATATGCTTCACTGTTTCTCTTACAACCTTTTGATAGTCAACATTAGCTTTCGATGTAATTTCACCACACAGAAGGACCATCCCCGTCTTAGTGACAGTTTCTGTTAATGTTTACAAAATTTTTAAGTATCATAAGGTAAGTAACAGGTATACTCTTGATTACTGTGTGGTATTCACACTCACCACATGCCACTTTTGCATCAGGATCTTGTCTTAAATGCGCATCGAGAACTGCGTCACTTATTTGATCACACATTTTATCTGAAAGAATAATATCACTAACTTAATCATTATCATATGATGTTATTCAGAATTCTTAGAAAAAAATAAATATCCTCTTCACAACACGTGGTCACGTTTTTATTGACAATTCATATCAATTGCTAAAACCTGAATTTCTTATTACAATGATGTAACATAATATTGACATTGCGGTTATACATTAGCCGTATTTTACTCTAGCGTGATGTAAATACTATGAATAATTTCTGTTCTCTTATACATATGAGACATTAAAACAAAAACAAAGCCTACCATCCAAATTATATTTGCGCACATGTTTGAGGCGGCCATCTTTCGTTTTGATATCTCGCACAAGTCCTGAAGTATCTAATGAAAAACTAACCTGGATGTCCCTCGCCAACAGATTCTGATGTAAATAAAAAGACTGATCCATCTTCCATATCATAACTGTGACCGTTTGTTTTTGCATATCCATTCATTTTTGAAGTCTCCGGCATTCTGAATTTAGAGTTAGCTCACAAAAATAACCCGATAAAATCCCCTCGAATTAATACTGTGGAAAAGAGGTCTGGTGCGTGTTCGCACTGTTATTTATAAGGTCGGAGAGGCGCCACAGCGCTCTTTACAATAACCAATCAGCAACAATCTCTCACTGTGCTGTCAAGCATTTACGGTATTTCTATTGGTCGGAATATGTTGTTTTGATTCTGTATAACCTATAAAATAAAGTAATAAAATATGTCAAAAGTCAATGTAATAAAATCTATGGTAAATTGTGTGCCTAAACAAAATTGATAAATAATATTATATTTTTTTGTAATTGGTGGGTACTTGACCGCCGGCAAAGAGTATATAATTATATCACTATGTTTTAACCACCGACGGATTGCTCATTTTAAATAATGGTATGTGGTGGATTTTGATACATACGTAAAAGTGTGCGTACTTCAAACTGGAAACCTCGCCAACTAACTATATTCTAAATTTTATTATGTTAAAATTTAGTGAGGAATTGGTGACAATTAAAAACGAAAGAAAAAAATTTTGTTACTAAATGCTTCAGGAGACATAGCCCTTTTTTGGGAAGATTCTTGCCTAAATTCAAGCTAGCAGCATCTCCTCGAAAACACAATTATTGGCTATTGAGATGTGATTTCTATTTTAAGATTTTGGTGACTTTCATTTACCGGGATTGAAAGATATTGTTCCATTGGAAACGGAGTTTTCATATGTCTATGGGAGGATTCTAGCTTGAAGAGTATATACCTATCATAGAACAACTCCAGGGCGCCTATATCTTTGGCTGGCAAATATGTGTCAAGATTTAGTGAGTAATTGGTGACTGTTAGTTTTAAAAGTCAATTTGATTTATCAGGGAGAACTGAGTGGAAAAGTTACATAAAGTGCTACGCATAAAATTTTTTAGTGATATTCAGTTGTAGCATTTAACTACTAACGAGAAATTAATAAAAAGCAAAAGATAATCACGTAGCATTTATTTCCCTCTAAATGTTATATACTCATAATCCTATCACAAAGTAGCACGGGATTTAATAAAGTTACCATCGGATTGGTGTAAATTAGCTGGTTTTTAGACTTAGTTTGCTAAACATTAGAATTACTTTACTTGACGGCTCCGTGGCGCAGTGGCTTAGCAATTGAGTTGCAGCGCTAAGGGCCGCGGGTTCGAATCCCGCACGGAACAAGTATTTGTATGGCCTACAAATAATTGTTCCGGGTCTGGATGTTTGTCCTTGTGCAATTTATGTTTGTAAACTGCCCCCACGATACAGGAGAAAATACTAGTATGGAGGTTACGTTTTTTTTTAATTGCCGTTTATATGACATGCCTTTTAGTAATAATAAAATCTAGATCATAACATTGAAGTGATAAAAGTATGTAGATTTATAAGATTAAACATTATAAATAATAGGGTGGCTTGGTTTATTATGCCGTGTCGCGGCGTAAGAGAATCTAATCTATGATCCTATTTCTTAGCATAGGATTAGTATGAAATTCGTATAGTAAGCAATAAAGGTATGATTCTGAACTCCGTTGCACGCAGCAGTGCTGTCGTGGTCGTATATTCTTTATAGGTTTATATGAGATTACATTCGGAGCTGCGATTCCGCGGCAGCAATGCAGCGGCAGCACTGCTGCGCGGCAGTGTTGCCCTGTCGCCGCGACAGACCAATAGTGATGCGTCCGCCGCTATAGCGATAGTACCTACGTGAATGTTGACAAGTAAATTTGCAACAAAAAGATCTATCTTTCAGAAGAGGAACAATTAATTAACTAGGTGACGGCTCACAAGGTGACCGACATGTGGGGTAGTCTGCCGACCGAAATAATTCTTGTGGTCGTTTCTGCGAACGGGCTAATCCCAGTCAGCCTGTCAGGTCAACTGAAGTGACTGGGACTCCGTGACGGACCGCTCCGGACACAGATGCAGAAGGCGGTGCTCCTCGATAGCGCATGCGTCGTCCTCCGGTTTCTTTCCTTTTCTTCCTAACCCTCGGCCGTTTGGTCTCCCCTGCCGAGGGCTTCCATCTGGTTGGATTTTTATTTATCTGGTTGGATATTTATGTAATTTTATATATTTATTTTATTTTATTGCTATTTATGTATATTTTATCATTTTCATTTACATTTATATATATTTAAATAGGGCAACCAGATTAGAAAACTTAGAGATACCCCACATAATAATAATAATATTTATTGATTCCAACTTTCCAACAAAAAATTTTATATGTTCCACATAAAACAAAACCTTATAAAATTTATATTGACAAGATTTAATCCAACTGAATACTATAATTAGGGTATCTTTAGGGACCGTGCTAGGTCCAGTGCGCGATTAAGCAAGCGCGGGGCCCGTAGGTAATTCTATCGAGGAGCCCTTGATCTGCTATAGGTTCATAAGTAATAATTTTAAATAAAAAAATTTGTACAACCGACTTCAATATAAATTAAATTATTAAGAATAACTCAAAAACTATTGGTCAGACCTTGATCAAATTTATATGGGACTATATGAGTAGCACCAGCTTTCAAGTAAAAAAAGAATCATTGAAATCGGTTCACCCAAAAAAAGTTATGAGGTAACGCACATAAAAAAACATCAGTCGAATTGAGTACCTTTTTGAAGTCAGTAGAAAAGTGGTAAAAAAAACCAATTCAATACTCAATACGTTTATTTGCCATCTATAGGTTACAATTTTGTTGGTGTTTAATAGTAGATTAGTATAGGCCCTATTAGAATGTGACAAGTCAAAAAGCCAGAGATGAGATTGTCCCGGCTATTTAGAATAATTTTGATAAGAAATAACAATTTAAAACTGACGATACTACACAAATAATTGTAAATCTTTTTAGCACATATTTTAAAATTTCGTACTGTCCATCGCACCAGCCACATCGCCGTCTAGGATGTCTTCCAAATAATTTACATAAGCACTGAACTTAATTAAAGTTTTTTTCATAACCCCTACTGCTAATGTCTTAATTGTCAAAATATTTCAAAAACACTAGTTAATTAATTTTTTTTTCCTTTTTTTTAAATTTGATTTTTCCTCTGCCAAAATTGCTCAGGCATTTATCAATGTCGTTGGAGTATATTGGAACGAAGTTCCTTATCGGACGGTACGAATTTGGCCGATAGGGGCTAGGTGAGAAAAAATGTAAGATTTTTCCGTCATGACCCCTTCTGACGTAGTGTAGACGGCCTTGACGGCTATAAGGAAGCGAGATCTAATAATATCCATCTCCCTCACATTTTGTCTTGAAAGAAATATTATTTTATTTTAAATGACGCTTCATTTTAATAGACACTGGTAATTCATTTATTTGTATTTGTTAATCAAAAATATAACACGTTTATCAATAATAATATGCTACGAAAGGAACTTCATTCGAACCGAGTGTTCCACGACACTGACGAATGTCGTGTTCACGTACACTCAGTTCGAACGCATGTTTTTTTTTTACTTTAATTTTGTTTTTTATTAGAAGAAACGGTAGCAGTTAAATCATGTAATATATCAATATACCATCACAGTTTAAAGCTTTCTTTAAACTGTGATACCGTAGACTTCCATTTCGCTCAAGTAAAACAGCTATGGGTCGAGTGAATTTGCTGGATTTTCAATTAGGAGAACTTTCTGTCTCTTCGATTTCAGTATCACTATAAAGTGCCTGCTGAGGTCAAAGTTTTAGTTTCACTTTTATAGTTATATGTACAATGAGATGCAGCTTCTGTATTTTCTGCTTTCATGGATTCAGCAACAAACTTGAACAGATTACGTGTTTTATTCTTTTTATCATTTCACTTAATTTTGGTACCTAAACCTCTCTCCCGTGACGCGAGCTATATATATTTGTATAATGGAATGTCAAAACAAAAACCTTAACAAATTCCGCAAAATCAATAAGTATACTATCACTGATGAGACACAATAGTCTCTCCCCTATACTTTTCAAAAATATTTATCATTATTTCATTCTATTTCATATCAATATTTTCCGAGTATTAATTCATTGTATTGAAATGTAATACCACTGACGAAATGGAGATATATCAGACATTTTGCTCAAAATTCACAATTAGTTTTAATAATTATCACCTGAAAGCTGAAAGCGTGACGGTTCCTTTGAATAAACACGAATTAATAACTTGATAAGTATACAAGTTTGATAGTGAAATTAGTTTTTTCCATAATCAAAAATCGAATAAAAAAGAACTTTATTAGCATATACGATCGAGTTGCAAAAAAAACTAGGGATTCGAAACATGAAAAAAAAAAACACATAATTGCAGCTACTTTATAATCAGTTCAGATTTGTTTTCGATTACTGAACGGAGAGAAGAGTATAGTTCTAATCACAATATAAAATGGTAATCATTGCTATGTTACGTGGTAACGACGACGTTTTAGCGATGGGAGGCACGAGTAATCTAGTCAAGAAGGGAGTGAAAGATTTCCTGTGAAAAATCGTTTGAATTGTGACAAAAATATGAGCGATTGCTCATTCGACACGGAATCAAAATTTTGAGAAAGACGTTTTTTTTTCTGGAGTTGATCAAAATTTTTGAAATTCAGTTTGTTATTAACAAAAAACATGAATTACGTAGCATTTATTTCCTTACACAAGTTTTTGTTAATAACTCAATAACTAAAGGGTTCTCGAAAATCGGAAAAATATCCTTAAAAGAGGAGGAAATTTCTTAAAAAATAGTCTTGATTCCGGGAACTGTAGCTCCATAAGCAACAATTTTTATTTAATGTTGAAGACGGGATTCCGCGTGTCTGCTGTCACACGGGCGCGTCTACGCTTATTACTATTAAAAAATTCGTGCTGATCTCCATAATGAAATTCTAAAAATAACGTATAAAAGATATCGAAATTACCAAATGCTTGCACACGTCAGACTTTTTATAGAGCCGGTTATCGGGCCGATTCAAATTCTATACAAGAATTTTCTTTTCAAATTCT